CACTTTTTTCCGGCTGTAGTAACGTAGTACTCCCGATGACAGCAGACATCTTTATAATAATTATAAACGTATCAGTTGACAGAATGAGGTACCATATAAGCCTCTAACAAGTTTGGTTGTCGTGACTACTGGCGGCCCTGTAATATTGTTTTAAATAAGATTATGTCTTCTATCCCTTCTCTCTTCACTCCGTCTGAGGAGTTATCATCTTCTGCTGATAAGGGTGAATGTTTTACTCGCAAATTCTATTCCAATTCTTGACTCATTTTGTCTGCCTTTCTACTGTTTGATATACACATATAAATCCGTCCATAGTTTCTTCTATTACCTCTAAACTGCATGTGGATGTGGACGATGGTATCCCTGAATTAGTCCTTAAAAATGTGCTCCTGAACTAGATCCTATTCTCTCTAAACTCTATAATAAATAACTTCGTGCTTCTTGCTGTTTGTTGGAAATTCTCTTCTATAATTTCACTTTATGGACTCAAGTGAACCGTCCTTTTAACTATCGGCCTATTAGACTTCTACTTCTTTTTGGTAAAGTACTAGAATCTCTAATCAACTCAGAATTGGTTAAACATCTCATTTCGCAGGGTTTTCTTTCAGACAAACAATATGACTTTCGCTTCTCTATGTCAACTGCCGATGCATTAACGGTTATTGCTGAAGGTATATATCAAGATTTAGATATGAATAGTGAAGCTCGGACTGTTGCTTTGGATATCTCGAAGGCGTTTTACAGGATTTGGTATATGCTAGTTTTCTTCACAAAATGAAAGGTTATGGCATCATTTCTAGACGAATTTTTGTAATGATTCAATCTTTCTTATCAAATCTCCAAATGAAATATGTCTTGAACAGCTATGCTTCGAGATCATTTTGCGTTAATGTGAGTGTCCCCCAGGGCCCTATCCTTAGACCTACGCTATCCCTAATTTTCATCAACGAATTTCCGATGTTGTCAGTTCTCTACTCATTATTTATGCACTTGACACAGCTATTTACTCTATCTGACTGATGCTAACCTCCGGGAGACTGATTCATTGTGCCTTCTCGAGCGAACGTTTACCAATGATATAAAGTGAATAGGTTTGCTGCCAGGAAAGTTGATTTACTGTGTCGTACTAAACAATTTTTCTCGCCAGAATTTATCTTACATATTTATAAGTCTACCATTCATCCATGCTTCAAATATTATTGCCATATCTGGTCTGGTGCTCCTGCTATATATTTAGAGATTCTTGATAAAATCAAAAGAAGAATCTGCAGCGTTATCGGTCTTGACCTGGCATCTTGGTTTTAGTCAATTTACCACCGCCGTAACGTAGCTTCTCTTTGACTTTTCTATAAAAGTAAATTTATGGTAATTGCTCTGATGAGAACAATTACCATGAAAATATTTATTTCACAATTAGGATCCGCCATGCCATGTTCATAGTTTCAAATCATATTTCAAACCATCCCCATTCCCTTCGTGTTTCTCTGTTAGGGAGTAAGTTCCACGCAGACAGTTTCTTCTTCAGAACTGTTACTTTGTGGAACAGGGTCCCGAGTAGATGCTTCTCTGACCACTACAATCTTAATCCCTTCAAGTCCAGCTTCAACCGTTATCTATTCTAAATATCTTCATAATATGCTCTTCCTGCCTCCTCCTTCTCCCTCCCTTATAACAATCCCAATAACCATCTACTTTGAGTGGACCTTAAGCCTTGTACTGAGTGAACTAAAGCAAATAAATAAATAAATACTTGATTTTTTATCACTTTCCGCCCATATTTTGTTAGTCGCAATTTCGTTATTTTATTAAATTTTCTTATTTTTTGAATAATTTAAAAACCTCATAGCGTGCAATTAGATATTTTATGACATGAAACAGGTAAGAAATAATCAAAAAATAAAAGCAATAAATTAAAAATATCATTTCAATAGTTTTAATTTCTTTTTTATCGTTCTAATGTAATATAAAAAAATAAAATTATTCATTCTAAGTTCCATAAAAATATATAGAAGAAAAATATATTCTTAAACTATTGGTTATATATGGTTAAAGGTAACTTATTTTTAAAGATAAATACCAATTTCTTGATTCTTCGCGCGCTTTTTTAAGAGTTAGGGATAACAGCAGAAAGCTACTGTTGGTGACCTATGATTTTGACGACAGCTCACAGGATACCATTTATAAATAAACGTTATTTTCATGAAATCTTAAGCAAAAAGTGAGCATTACTTTTAGAAAATCCAATTAATTAATCCTTAAATTTATTCACTTACTTTGAAACATATCTCTAGAACAAATATTAGATTTTTAAGAAATTTTTTAATTTGTTGTTTACATTCTTTTGTCTATAATGGCGGTTCGATGAGTGATGAGTGAACTGTTATTATCTTTCAAATAAAACCATAAATGAATTATTTAAAATCCGTCTTTGGGGTGTTTTAGGAAATCTGTGGCAGTACCTAAAATTGCACTTTTTTTTACCTCATTTTGCTGTATATTTTTACGCTTTATATTTTACGCTTTAGTTCAACTTAATGAGAAATGTAGTATTTAACTTTTTAAATATCTATGCTTTTTTAAAATTAATAATAGCCCACTGTATATTTCTGGATTTAATTTTATACATATGTTGGTTATAAGTTACTGTAAATGGGTAGAATTTGTGTAACTACCTACGTATGTGAAATGATATTCCTTTTCTGTGTTCTAGAATGTGTTCTTGTTCGCGGATGGTTAAACAGCATCTCGGTCAGAAGAAACAAGAATTTTAAAAAATAAATAAGTAAAATAAGCAATATCTTGTACAAATTTTTCTTGGCCTTGACCTAAGATTCCGTCTCTTCACCAAGATAGCATGCTTCATTGAAAAAAAAACAAAAAAAAAAAAAAAAAAAAAACAGACTAAAATGAAACTTACACCTATATTCACGTACCCGCTTTTAATGAGTACAAAGACAAATGAGTATTTGCATTAAATCTAAAATTCCCTTACAGGGATACATTAAGTTAACTATTAAATTGAGTTAGGGTACCTCGAGGCGGTGTAATGGTCAGCAAGCTTGTCTCGCTAGAACAGTTATGACTGAATAGTGAGTTTGATCCTCATTGGCAGCCCCATACTTTCGGTCTTATGCCACATCTAAGCAACGCTTAGAAACTCAATACTATTGACTCATAAATAATTTCTGTTTATGATTTATCAACTTTATTCTTTAAAATATAACAACTGGCTCCTAAAAAATATTTTAAACACCAAAACCTCTCACAGAGTTTGAAAACGTGTAAGTTATTTAAGACTAAAACTCACAATTTAGTATAAATTTATAAAAAGGTAATTTTTATACCAATTTCTTGATCTCGTTAAAAATATGAGATGAAGTAGTGTTTTAGCACCTAAACCATTGATTTAGTTTTAAATAGTAACATTTGGTGTGTTCTAAGCTGCAGATTTCGTTTCGATTGATCATTTTTTTTTATATTTATTGAAGTGGCATTATATTCGTATGATTTTTATAATTTCAAAACAGACTTTTTGGTTGCATAATTTGAGACTTAAGTTATGTTTTCTGCAATCACTGTATGGAACGATTTTTGCCCTTGGATAGCAACTGTTATTTCCTATCTATTTACGCCTAGATTGTATGAAAAATGGCTAATATTTCTTCTTAATTTTGCTTTTGTGATCAGGATAATGATCTTTTTTAAATTTACCTATACTCATTAGGGAAAGTGGTGAATGTGAATATTTTCGTTCACGCAAAGTAGCAACAAAACGACATGATTCAAAAGTAGCATTTACTTATTCTAGGATTACACAAGAGAAACCACAGAAAATTTAGAAGTGAGTAATTTTTCGCGATTTACACTTATACTGTAAATTACTTTCACGAATCAGCCCCCAAATATTGTTATCGTCATACGATCCTTGGTAGCGGCATTCAAAGTACAGTATATCCTGGTAAAATCGCTTGCCTTGTTCCTCTGAGTATACTTCCCATGTTCTCCTTGAATTTATCAAGTAGAGCGTCAAGGATATGGACTTGAGGGACATCCTGCACCCCATTTTGCTGTAGTTTTTCACCAGGGTTTCAGCAAGCTCCACACAGTTTTCGGCCTTGTGATTCACCAAGAAATCCCAAACCACTGCGATAAAGCTGTTCCACGCTGCTTTCTCCGTTCTAATGACCTTTTAGATTCCTTGCAATCTATGATCTTTATTTGTGGTCCGACGCAGATACCGGCTTTGACTTTTGCCACGGACAGCTTAAGGTAGAAGCCTTGAAGGTACTTGAAGGCTGCAGAATCCTTATCTAAAGCTGTGATAAATTGTTTCATAAGGCCCAAATTTAAGTGAAGTGGAGGAAACAATACTTTCTGGGGGTTCAACAGTGGCTCCCATCTGATGTTTCTCCCGACACAGACCTCGGCCCACTATGGATAGTCCCGCTTATTGTAGTGTGCCGCGGTTTCCCTGCTGTCCCAAAGGCAAAGATAACACAGAAACTCGGTAAAGTCGACTTGGAGACCCGTCAAGATGACCGTCATTTTGAAATCTCCGATAACCTCCCAAACCTACTTTTCATATTTCAAGTCATCTAGCAAGATCTTGATACTCCTGTATTCCTCTTTGAGCTGCACCGAGTGAGCCAGGTAAAGAAATGGATACATGTTCCTGTTATGAAGCAGCACAAATTTGAGGCTCCTGGATGGGCTGTTGATGAGGAGGCGGCGCTCGCTGGGATTACAGGCTATTCCGATTGCCTCGAACAGACAGGTCAAAAACACAGGTGACACTTTCTCTAACATTCGACTTGCACACTTTCATCTAATAAATTCCATGAATATCGGCGTCAAAAGCTCGGCATTGGACTTTGTGAGATCAAGATCTCTGGTCAAATTGTTTCAAATTGTTTGGTTGGGGTAGTATGGGTTTCTCTCCTCATCTGCGCCTCTGTAATCTGTGGATAAATTACTTCATCCTCTTCTGTTCTCTTTTAAAGACGTTTGATCTCTCTCTCTCTCTCTCTCTCTCTCTCTCTCTCTCTCTCTCTCTCTCTCTCTCAGAGTGGGTAAGAAGAGCTCCGGGCTGTGTGGAACTGGGGCAATAAGTGACAGAAAGTCATCCATCGTCAGCTTGGTGTTTGGAAGGGTCAACCATGCAGAAGAAGCAATTGCTTGAGTGGTCAGTTGGCTTCCTCCAAATCCGTGGAATTGTGAATTTCATGGCGCTCTATTTTTCCATATGTACTCTCCCGAAGACGATAGAAGACTTTCTCTTGAACTGAAGGATTCGCATCAGTGGACTCTCGAACCAATTGTGCACAAAATTAATAATTGCATCTTTTTTAGAGGTTTTATGCTAAATTCAGCAACATTTAGTACCACATATTTTCTGATTAAAACTATATCTGACTTTATTTTGATATTATTTTTTTCTATGTATTCGGCTCGGTTCTTGGAATTTAATACAGCACGTGTGAATTTATGGTTTCTCATAAACTTGTTAATATAAATAACTAATAGGCGAAAATCTTACTCTGACAATTGGTCGTAAATGTGAACTTGTACTCAATACAAATGAAACAAAAAGAATTGAATTTTTTTGATAAATTTGAAACGGTCTGAAAAAATAATAGATAAAAAACTTTAGTTGTAAATCCATACAAAACTTTGGTAAAAATAGGTTAATAGCATAAAAGCATTCAAGATTACGAAACAATTTTTTTCTGAAAAGTATTTAAAAATATATTTTAAACTCGTTTTAAACTTTATGTGAGTTCGATAGTGATGATGAGGATGGGAGATTTCATCAAGTACCTAGCTTTACAATTTACGTTTCTTTTTGAATGTCTCTGTGCACAGGTTGGATTCATTGTTTCTTCTATCTAGGTACCGAAAACATTCTGGTTTATATAGCCGTTGAGATTCTTACTGTCCAATATAGTGAAAAATGAACCTTATTAAGTGTACAGAAAATCGTGTCCTATTAATTTGTTCAGACAAAAATAAATTCAGAAATTTAATTTATTAAGAGTGTCTTAGGGAAAAATAGATACCCACTTGACATTGGAATTTAGCGTTCGTAAAAAATGTCGTAATTTATAAAACGCAACCAGAGTGGCTCCTTAGAAGTGTCCTGCCTATATGCGTATAATGTGGATTAGTGGTGTCAGTGTCAGGTTTGCCAGGCAAATTTCTGCTGGTGTAAAAAGCTGTTTTATGTCTGCCAATACACACTTTATCTTTACTGACCAACCTATTTTGAGATCGATCCAAAAAGATATTCTAACATCCGCCCATGTTAGTTACGTAATTTATCATATTCAAATTCTAGTGTGACACTAAATACGTAGTTACATTGGAAGAATGTTAGTGTGGCACTGAATGCATAACTAGAACGGAGCAAAGATTGGAAGAATGTTAGTGTAGCGGTGAATACATAGGTAGAAGGTGGCAAAGATTGGAAGAATGTTAGTGTGGCCTTGAATACATAGGTACAATGAGGCAAGGATTGGAAGAAGATTAGCGTGGCGCTGAATACATATTGAGAAGGTGACAAAGATTGGAAGAATGTTAGTGTGGCCTTGAATACATAGGTACAATGAGGCAAGGATTGGAAGAAGATTAGCGTGGCGCTGAATACATATTGAGAAGGTGAGAAAGATTGGAAGAATGTTAGTGTGGCCTTGAATACATAGGTACAATGAGGCAAGGATTGGAAGAAGATTAGCGTGGCGCTGAATACATATTGAGAAGGTGACAAAGATTGGAAGAATGGATATGGGTCTTGAATACATAGGTACAATGAGGCAAGGATTGAAGAAGATTAGCGTGGCGCTGAATACATATTGAGAAGGTGACAAATATTGGAAGAATGTTAGTGTGGCCTTGAATACATAGGTACAATGAGGCAAGGATTGGAAGAAGATTAGCGTGGCGCTGAATACATATTGAGAAGGTGACAAATATTGGAAGAATGTTAGTGTGGCCTTGAATACATAGGTACAATGAGGCAAGGATTGGAAGAAGATTAGCGTGGCGCTGAATACATATTGAGAAGGTGACAAAGATTGGAAGAATGTTAGTGTGGCCTTGAATACATAGGTACAATGAGGCAAGGATTGGAAGAAGGTTAGCGTGGCGCTGAATACATATTGAGAAGGTGACAAAGATTGGAAGATTGTTAGTGTGACCTTGAATACATAGGTACAATGAGGCAAGGATTGGAAGAAGATTAGCGTGGCGCTGAATACATATTGAGAAGGTGACAAATATTGGAAGAATGTTAGTGTGGCATTGAATACATAGGTACAATGAGGCAAGGATTGGAAGAAGATTAGCGTGGCGCTGAATACATATTGAGAAGGTGACAAAGATTGGAAGAATGTTAGTGTGGCCTTAAATACATAGGTACAATGAGGCAAGGATTGGAAGAAGGTTAGCGTGGCGCTGAATACATATTGAGAAGGTGACAAAGATTGGAAGATTGTTAGTGTGACCTTGAATACATAGGTACAATGAGGCAAGGATTGGATGAAGATTAGCGTGGCGCTGAATACATATTGAGAAGGTGACAAATATTGGAAGAATGTTAGTGTGGCCTTGAATACATAGGTACAATGAGGCAAGGATTGGAAGAAGATTAGCGTGGCGCTGAATACATATTGAGAAGGTGACAAAGATTGGAAGAATGGATATGTGGTCTTGAATACATAGATACAATGAGGCAAGGATTGGAAGAAGATTAGCATGGCGCTGAATACATATTGAGAAGGTGACAAATATTGGAAGAATGTTAGTGTGGCCTTGAATACATAGGTACAATGAGGCAAGGATTGGAAGAAGATTAGCGTGGCGCTGAATACATATTGAGAAGGTGACAAAGATTGGAAGAATGCTAGTGTGGCCTTGAATACATAGGTACAATGAGGCAAGGATTGGAAGAAGATTAGCGTGGCGCTGAATACATATTGAGAAGGTGACAAATATTGGAAGAATGTTAGTTTGGCCTTGAATACATAGGTACAATGAGGCAAGGATTGGAAGAAGATTAGCGTGGCGCTGAATACATATTGAGAAGGTGACAAAGATTGGAAGAATGGATATGTGGTCTTGAATACATAGGTACAATGAGGCAAGGATTGGAAGAAGATTAGCGTGGCGCTGAATACATATTGAGAAGGTGACAAATATTGGAAGAATGTTAGTGTGGCCTTGAATACATAGGTACAATGAGGCAAGGATTGGAAGAAGATTAGCGTGGCGCTGAATACATATTGAGAAGGTGACAAAGATTGGAAGAATGGATATGTGGTCTTGAATACATAGATACAATGAGGCAAGGATTGGAAGAAGATTAGCATGGCGCTGAATACATATTGAAAAGGTGACAAATATTGGAAGAATGTTAGTGTGGCCTTGAATACATAGATACAATGAGGCAAGGATTGGAAGAAGATTAGCGTGGCGCTGAATACATATTGAGAAGGTGACAAATATTGGAAGAATGTTAGTGTGGCCTTGAATACATAGGTACAATGAGGCAAGGATTGGAAGAAGATTAGCGTGGCGCTGAATACATATTGAGAAGGTGACAAAGATTGGAAGAATGGATATGTGGTCTTGAATACATAGGTACAATGAGGCAAGGATTGGAAGAAGATTAGCGTGGCGCTGAATACATATTGAGAAGGTGACAAATATTGGAAGAATGTTAGTGTGGCCTTGAATACATAGGTACAATGAGGCAAGGATTGAAGAAGATTAGCGTGGCGCTGAATACATATTGAGAAGGTGACAAAGATTGGAAGAATGGATATGTGGTCTTGAATACATAGATACAATGAGGCAAGGATTGGAAGAAGATTAGCATGGCGCTGAATACATATTGAAAAGGTGACAAATATTGGAAGAATGTTAGTGTGGCCTTGAATACATAGATACAATGAGGCAAGGATTGGAAGAAGATTAGCGTGGCGCTGAATACATATTGAGAAGGTGACAAAGATTGGAAGAATGTTAGTGTGGCCTTGAATACATAGGTACAATGAGGCAAGGATTGGAAGAAGATTAGCGTGGCGCTGAATACATATTGAGAAGGTGACAAATATTGGAAGAATGTTAGTGTGGCCTTGAATACATAGGTACAATGAGGCAAGGATTGGAAGAAGATTAGCGTGGCGCTGAATACATATTGAGAAGGTGACAAATATTGGAAGAATGTTAGTGTGGCCTTGAATACATAGGTACAATGAGGCAAGGATTGGAAGAAGATTAGCGTGGCGCTGAATACATATTGAGAAGGTGACAAATATTGGAAGAATGTTAGTGTGGCCTTGAATACATAGGTACAATGAGGCAAGGATTGGAAGAAGATTAGCGTGGCGCTGAATACATATTGAGAAGGTGGCAAATATTGGAAGAATGTTAGTGTGGCCTTGAATACATAGGTACAATGAGGCAAGGATTGGATGAAGATTAGCGTGGCGCTGAATACATATTGAGAAGGTGACAAATATTGGAAGAATGTTAGTGTGGCCTTGAATACATAGGTACAATGAGGCAAGGATTGGAAAAATATTATCGTGGCGCAGAATACATAGTGAGAAGGTTACAAATATTGGAAGAATGTTAATGTGACACTGAATACATAGGTAGAACGGGGCAACGATTTTCAGAATGTTAGTGTAGCGCTGAATACATAGGTACAATGAGGCAAGGATTGGAAGAATATTAGCGTGGTGCAGAATACATAATGAGATGGTGACAAATATTGAAAGAATGTTATTGTGGCCTTGAATACATAGGTACAATGAGGCAAGGATCGGAAGAATATTAGCGTGGCGTTGAATACGTATTGAGAAGGTGACAAATATTGGAAGAATGTTAATGTGACACTGAATACATAGGTAGAACGGGACAACGATTGGCAGAATGTTAGTGTAGCGCTGAATACATAGGTAGAAGGAGGCAAAGATTGGAAGAATGTTAGTGTGGCCTTGAATACATAGGTACAATGAGGCAAGGATTGGAAGAATAATAGCGTGTCGCTAAATTCATATTGAGAAGGTGACAAAGATTGGAAGAATGTTAATGTGACACTGAATACATAGGTAGAACGCGGCAACGATTGGCAGAATGTTAGTGTAGCGCTGAATACATAGGTAGAAGGAGGCAAAGATTGGAAGAATGTTAGTGTGGCGCTGAATACATAGATAGAAGGTGGTGATGATTAGAAGAATGTTAGTGTGGCCCTGAATGCATAGATAAAACGGGGTAAAGATTGGAAAAATGTTCGTGTGGCGCTGAATACATAGGTACAAGTTGGCAAAGATTGGAAAAATGTTAGTGTGGTGCAGAATACATTGGTCGAATGTGGCGATGATTAGAAGAATGTTATTAATATTTATTTATAATATATGAATTTTTGCAGAGAAGAATTAAAACTTTGTTCCCTACAATTAGATTTTCAGTGTTTTGTTTCTTAGAAAAATAATTTATTCTTTTCCTTTTTTTAAAACTTTTTACTTTAACCGGTTTCGTTTAGTTTAAAAAAAAAATAAACTTAACTGTTTCCATCTCCACGTGTTGATGCTTATGTTTTGTACCAATGAAAAAAAATGAAAATCAAGGGGCATAACTGACTATATATGTTGTTTATGCTAAGAGGGATTTGGTAGAATCTATGTATGCAATGAATTAAGTATGGGTTTGAACTTGTTAATGAACAATATTTACTTATTGATTCGTCTTTGTTCAGTGGTTCTGTAGTTGCACTGGTAAAATGGGAAAACACTAAAATTTGGCAGATTTGGTCCTCCGCATTCCTCTATATGTTGGCTAAGGGGTATTTTTCTGGTGTGGGGGTGCCTAATTTGTTGGCGATGAACTGCCATCCTTTATATATATATATATATATATATATATATATATATATATATATATATATATATATAGAGAGAGAGAGAGAGAGAGAGAGAGATAAAGATAAAGAGAGATAGTAATTGTGCAGAGCTCGGTCAAAAAGGCAAGATGTATGATATTCATTACTAGAAATATATATCTGGAATAAATTTCACTTATTTTGCAAGAATTTGACTGACTGCTACGCATAATGTTTCTTCGCATTATTTTTCTGGGATGAGCTTGTGATAACGAGTGTCATCGACTAGGCACAAGAAAAGATAGGCCCTAAAACTAACGATTTCCTACTCTTATCTTAGTTCTGCAGCTGAGCTATGCTCCGAAATACTCGAGCATTATTATTATTATATAGCACAACACGTGAGAAAATAATTAACATTACATTGTCTTAATTGCTGTCATGCCACGAGAATTGTCTATGTTGACGCTGCCCTCTATATGCTTTTTGTTTTTGTAATCACGGATCCTAAACAACTGATGATCAGTATAAGTATATATTTGAGAATCTAACCGTTAATTTTATCCGACATAAAAGCTCTTTGTTTGACGGATTCACTTTGTCAAAACTTGCATTTGCTCTTGAAAAGCAAGAAAAATCACGAATTAATTCGATGCTCAAAATAAAACATTCTTTTTCATTGTTCATCCGGCATATTTTACGTGAACATTATTTCCGGCATAATTATTTTATTCGGTTAAACATGTTACATAGATTTTTGTAAAGTGTAAAGTTAATTAGGGTATTATATATTTTTTTCAAAAATAGGTTCAATAAAATTTCGCTGTCCAGAATATGAATGAAGAAATCACCTGATTATTATGAGATAAGAGTAGAATGCTTGTGTTATCTCATCTCATTATTATCAGCGTTATCTCTCTTCTTCACTTTTTCTTTTCTTTGTACTCGCGGAACAATTTTTACGGCGGAGACTTAATGAAACTAACACACGGTTGTTTTGTTGAATCCACCTTCGTTTACACCAGTGGTACCCACACCTTTTCTATCCCCCATTCCTTGTCTCTCAGGTCGCATTACCCAGTGCCCACCCATAAGAAAAGACATTGTTGTTGGTATTATTCTATTATTAAGTTACAAGTATATTACAAATTCAAACTAACTAATCTAACACCAGACGAACATCCGCGGCTATGTCGTCACACCTACAAACTGTTATAACCAGCATTTGGTTGCAAAGGAAAGGAATAACAAGGATTACATTTTCAACGGCGTATTCATCAAATATGCATGATACATAGTTGGTAGAAAGCGATTAGGTATAAGGGAATTGACCGATTTCTTGGACTGGTTTGGCCGATGTCACAGGATAGGTCCAGAGTGGACTAACGTCCAGAGTGAATTAACCGGTGGTGAGGTTTGACGCACGCCTTTCTTTAATGTTGAAATCGATATCTGTGATGGTGTTGATGGGCTGGCGGTCGTGTAATGCCGAGATGTTGAAGCCGAACTGCCTGGTAACGTAGGTTGGCGTATTGATCGATCGAGGTCACGGTGGTAGGTTGATTCGTGATAGGGCGCTTTGGTTGCCAGAGTTACAGTGGTCGTGACGAGGGATTAGGTGTAGCTGGTGAATGTTGATCGAGCGGAAGATCTCTGTTGGATTCTGATCGAATGTTGTATCAACGAGACGGGGTTACGATGGTGATGGCGAAAGAGGCCTGTAGTAGGTTGAGCGGAATGTTTCTGTTGGACTCGGGTCGAAGGTGGTATTAACGAAAGGGAGTCGGGGTGGTGACGACGAGGAATTCCTGGAACTGGGTGGTGACGAGTCCTGAAGGGTCATCTCTATTTCCGGCAAGAACGTTCCTGATTGGCTATTGTATTATGTTCATTGCTGGGATTTGTTTCGTGAACCGGATATGATGCTCAGAGCCTAGAAAACGACTTTTTTTTTTTTTTTGTTCTTAGCGCTCACATCCGATCGACACGCAGAGTGAATGAGAAATAGATCTAATTGCAGCGGAGTATAACAAAACCTAGAGCATTGGCCTCTGCAGATATCGGCTGGGTGAACCTGACAGATGTGTGGCGGCTGTCCAGATAAAGTGAGTAAAAAATACAAATGTTCGGACTTTTAACTTTAGACAAGAAAATGAGATAAATAGTCATGCATTCATGGATAACTCGTATGTTATTTGCAAAGCATTGCATGTTCCTTAAAAAACTATGATTAAAATTTTTTCATATAAATTTTGTTAAAAAAAAGAAAAAATATTACTTGGTTTTGTCATCCTTTATTTCCTAATCACTCCCTTTTCTCTCACCTCTCACCTGTATTTTACGGGGGCCTTATGGCCCACTTTGGGAATCCTAATTTTGCACGAAGTGCATTTCATAATTGATTCGAAATGATTGCGAAGAATGTTTATTATAGGTTAACTCTTTTTATTTATATAAAAATTTACATTTTATGACATACCTGAATTATATCAAGTTACGAGGAGGTGCTGAAAAGTTCTCGGTTTGACACTAATTTTACAACCAGTCTTTCGAATAAATCACATAAAACTGATCTATCCTAAAACTGAATTTTTATTACTAGATTCTTCGTGTGTTTGTCTTAATCTTGGCGGTACTTTTATATAAGTACCGCCAAGTACATTTAAGTTAATGGTGATCCCATATAAAACACTAAGGATACCCATTAACCATTATTTCTACATTCTTAATAGTGTCCTTCATCTGAAATGTTAGTTTTATTTCATATATTTATTCTTTTACTTCAGATTTTTTTATATTTTAAAAAACGAGGATAAAAAATTACAAGGGTTATTAGGCGCCCAAGAAAAGAAGCATTCTTATGTGGGTGTGAAATTGAATTGAAAGAATGTGTTTATTTACAATTAAATTCAAATAGGAAATGAAAGAAGGCTTCCTCAAAATATTCTTTTGGGCGCCTAATAAAAATGAAGATTTGTTCATTTAAGGTGGGACTCACAATTGAAAAAATTAAAAATGTCCTTGTTAAAGGGATACAGTGAAAATTCTCCCGTTGTTGTAAAGTTCCGACCTTTGAGGTCAAATGTAGCAGTTGCAAACAATGTTGTTGGTGGGGAAGGCCGAATAAGGAATTTTTGAGATTTTATGAGATATTTTTAGTTTTTGGCTTATATTGTCTGAGTTTTGGGTTGGCCTTTCGGAATCTTTTTGTCCTCAGCTTCAAATGATAATTGTAAAGGATGCCCTCTTGTCTTTCTGACTAACCATCCTGACCGCGCGAATGAATAGTGATTTCCACAGGCCAGTGACATTGTTTATAATGACATCATCAGGATACCTCAGTTATCATTTCAAATTAGCGCGTGTTTGAATTCCTTGCTTCTGATTGGTGAAAAATAATCCAATGGGAGAAATTTTCTCCTCAAATATTTTTCTACAACATTCGAATTGTATTTCCCTGTTTTCACTTTTAGGGGTAAAGACATAAAGTTGTAGTTTTTTCACACAATTTTTTTATATTACAGCCGAATATACTCAACGTTTGGCGAATATGAGCATTGATCAGTAATGATTTTATTTTTAATTTATTATCCCAAACTCCAATAATTCAAGCTAATTGCTTATGTCGAGTGTCGGGTTGCCTCCTCCTAATTTTTGAAACCGCTACTAGGAGACGCTTTCAGGACTCTACGATAATTTTTTTTTATCACTCTCTTCTTACTTTTCGCTTATACCTCAATATGTAAATCTCTCGCGGAAGAAAACGTGTTTCCTTTTGGGAAACACATGAGCAATATACATATATACACACACATGCACGTACGTACATTCACTCACTACACATATTTTGGACCAAACAGTTTTCACATTCATTTGTTACACGCTTTGCCTTTGTCGCTTGTATAACTTTTTGTTAATACATTGTCATTTGTCTGTACATATATACTGGTTCTTATCGTTTCTTTGTATTTCTTTACGTGGACTCACATCCTGAGTCTGCCATGTTTGTTGTGGGCATTTCAAATGACACACGTGTTTATTTCTCAACGCATACACCGGTCCACAACACGAGCAATAATCCTCGACAAAGCAGTAAGTTATGGTTAAAGTCTTAAAGTATAATCATTATTTTTTTCTATTTGTTGAATGACACATAATGGCACTCTAATCACTTAATACATGTATTTGGTAGTGTTTTATGGCAACAACTCCTACCACTTAAAAATCTTTACTTGATCATTGTAATTCAGTGAAGAGAGGGCATATTTTTTAAATCTAAGAAAGGAGGACAAAGAAATAAAACTTTTCTCAGATATAGAAACGATGACAATGACGTTTTTTTCCAACTACTGACATATCACCACTTTACAGTTTCAACTTTATCACTTTACTATCAATTAAATACTTTTCTCTATGTCATACAAACGAATTATTATTATTCGAAGAAAATTTACCGGAAACTACCATAAGCTCATTCTTACATCCTATCTTTTTTTATCGCCACTTAGTCCAATGTTGCTATCCTAGTGGACTTCATTTTAATAAAAATTTAATACATTTTTTACAATGAGCCACTCGAGGTGGAGAGTTACAGAGTAAGAGGCACAGTTGAATTCTATCGTGATTGGATAGTGAAGACCGAGTAGCTCCTACCTATATATGGCAACAGTACTCCATTTTCGGACAGATCTGGTTTGTGAAAAGGTAGAGGATTGAAGGAGGAGTTACTGGAGCGCTACAGGAAACCAATCATTTTCCAGCCTCTTAAGTCTTTAACGATGGATCGTATGTACGAGTTCCACTTGAGATCTAGATAGAGTGTAAGTCCCTATAGGCGCTCAAGGCATGGGGACTCACTGAATGGAACAACCGTTAATTGGCAATAGTTCTAGGTCCGATCGGTGATGATGGAATGTCACTAGTGTGATTTTCCAGGCATTGAAATTGACCAGTCAGTTTTCCCCAACTAAGCTGTTAGAGATGGATTAAAGGAGAGATCAGCTGCCATTCTCTGGTCATTTACAGTTTTGGAGGTGCACCCATATACCGTTATATTATCAGCATTCACAAGATATTCACAAATGATCGGAGTATATGTAAAGCAGAAAGAAGTTTGGACCGAGAAGCGAGCCCTTGGGAAATTTTGTCATTCTTAAAAAATAAATGTTAAACCAAAAACAGAGTTCTTCTCGGGATAAGCCGACATTTTAAGGAATGTATTCTAGCACACTTACTGAAAATAACTTTATGAAATTCATCTTTGTCCTTATGCATGTTTATTAGCAGTTAATTAGTTACAAGTAAATTACCAATAGACCATCGAGTTGCAACAAGTTCTGTTCCATCTCATTGTAAATCGAATATATCCAGTTGTGAGTTGTTGTAATAGTACCATTTAATATCAGTGTCTTAAAAGATATTTTCTTTGTTTTGATGACGAGGAACCATAAATGGTAATAAACAGCTTTTGTTTTGTTGTCAAAAATTAAATAGCAACAATTTTTACGCTTTTTAACGGAAAATATACCTATACTACATATTGAATAAAATGAAAATAATGAAATTATGCTTACTGATTATTATGATAAGCGTTTTGTTGCGAAAAGAAAGGATAGGAATAACGAGGATTAGGTTTTTTTTTTTTTAAATAAACTCCTCAGTAAGAGCAAGTGCGAATTCATCAGCCGACGATAGCATCCTTAATTAGTAAATAAAAAGAGCTTAATATTTCATCATGATAACGTTACACGCTGCATGCTTCTTTGGTGGCTAGACAAAAATTATTGCAGCTTGTTTGGCAAGTTATCACTTCCCCACCATATTCACCACTGCCTTCCAATTAAAATTTATTCCCGTTTGCAGAGAATTTTCTTAATGAAAAACAATCAAATCCCATGGGAAAATTAAAAACACCGTGATAACATTTACTGAGAAAAATAAAAGGTTTGCAAAGATGGAATTATGAAGTCGCTTGAAATGTAGAAGAAGACGGTAGAGTAAAACG